TATCCAAAGGAAGGCCAAAGGGTTTTGGAATACTCCCCAGGGACCGTTCACTGGCGGCAAGCAGAAACTATTCCAGCCAAAATTCAAACCAAAGGGAAGATTTCAAGAAACGTCGGCGGCAGGATCTTCTAGGGATTTTGGGGGTCAAGCTCTAGCCAGCATTGCTGAAATGAGCGATGCCATGTATATCACGACTCGCGTTCCGGAGGAGCAAGTTGCAAGGACAGTTAAATTTGGCCGTGATGGAGAGCCCATAAGGTAGGCGCATGCGTTTGGTTCTACTCTTATTCTTTAGTTAGAAACCCTATTAGTGAGAGGGCTTTCTCACTTGACTTCCATCTCCGGAGCATGTTTCTGTTTCTCGTACTACACGCAAATCTTCTTACCACGAGTCCCTTTCGCTCTTCACCAGCGGGCGGTTCGACAAGCAATTTGATGCTATATGCTCTATACTTACACCCATTTTATCAGTGACACGCCCGCCTCCCACCCGATTGGAACAACCGTTCGTGTCTGCGATTTTCTAAAATCGTTACCTGTGAGGAGACAAGAAGCAGAGAAAAAATCGACAAAATCCATTCTCGCTATAAAGAAGCTCCTTCGGGGATATGCTATAGCAAGGCCAAAAACACGTTTGTCGATGAGAGTATTGAAATCCAAAGAGAAGGACTGGGTTTATGCGCCTAGCCAAAAACCCTCCGTACCTGATGCAATCCTCCAAGTTATTGGCTCTACGGTGATTTCAAGCTGTATTTCCTCGAACGCTTCCTATCCAATTCCGGGAGAAAAAGACAGTCCAGACTCCATGGTGGAAAACTACGATACCCCCACTATCCACATGTCTGTCATTGTACCTAAACCTGAAGCAGGTAAGTGTAATCCCTGCACAGGAGAGTAGCTAAGCTGATAACTATAGAATGTATGGCCAGAATTAACCACAAAGGGCAATTTGTCATTGTTGATGCCCGCCCGCTTCTGACCTGCATGGGCTTTGGTAAGGAAGTGTTTAAACTCTTCAAATCATATTACAAAAAGGCCATAGATTACAATATACTTGAAGATCCCTTCATGTTTTTATCCTTGGATTGTCCTCCCGGCATATATGATGCGAACATCGAACCTTCTAAGGATGACATTTTGTTCGAAGATAATCAGGCAGTCCTCCAGATAATCGAGAGCGTTTTCATGGGTATCTACAGTCTTGAAACTTCTACCATTATACCCACTCCTGATACCCGGCAGAGTTATTCTAGTAACCAGTTAACCATTGACATTAGTAGTCCAGCATCTACTAAAAACTGCGGTCGTTTCCGCCCTAATAAAACACTTACGCCTACCGTTAATCCATGGACACTATCTCTTGCTTCCCAGCGACTACGTGATCCGGAATCTCAGCTTTTAACTCCGCAGCGCGAAACCCAGGCTCCACAAAAGAATATACTCCCAAGAAGTCCAAACATTAGGGCGAAAAATAGCAGAATCTCCATGCGGCAAGCTACACTCAGTCTGCATGGCAATGGTAGGGTGTCACTATTCAATACACAGAGCCGACAACGAAAAAGGAATGGCTCGCCTAGAATGGCGACCCCACCACAAGTGCCTGCACCCAATATCCCCCGCAGTATTGAGGCTTCCTTACAGACAGCAGAGGGAAATTCAACCAGAGGAAATGAGGGAACGTATGTAATACGGCCCGCCCCCCAGGTACCGCCACTTTTAAGGACCTGTTCTGCAGCCACACGCCGACAGGAACCTATAGCTGTTACTTTTCCCAGATCTAACGATCCAATACCCCCAAACCCACGCTCTATAAGCGAAGTATTACGTCGCAATCATGGGAGTGACCACGAAAACTCGGGCTATTGTGAAATACGTCCCTACAGATTAAATGTTCCTAGCGGCTCACAGCTACACGCAGTTTCGACTAATCTTAAATCCAAATTTCAACCTGGTCTAAACCAAAAATTTAACGACCTAACCAGCTACGGGAAGAATAACTTTTCTATAGAAATGATTCGAGATCAAGATAAACCTCCGATGGAATGCATGCCATCAATGGACCCAGTGTATGAAACAACAATACCTAATGGCGGTGAAATCATACAGCTGGCAGATTCAATCAAACGACTGGTTAATACGGACCAATATGTGAAGTCAGGGTCTCTCATGGCAGCATTCTCGCCGGTCGATTCAACAAGTAGCATTAGCTACTGGACCAACGAGCTTCATAATCTGGCCAAAAAGCCCTCGTTCCAACGCCAGTTGAGGCAACTATCATTCCTAACTCCGGGCAATCCATCCAAATGAAAACCCCATACAGTATGTGCATACTATTGTTATATATAGAGGTCTATAGCATACAGCTACATTATGAAGACGTGATGAGGGGGCAGCATATCATAAGACTTGTTCTATTAATTGGCAATGATTGGTCCCTGACTGTAATAACAACATATCGCATGAACCCTGGTTAAAGCCAACGTTTACTAAGTGCAGGGCGCTTAAACCTCCCTGGGTGTAATGGGCGCTTAAGCGTGGTCAGCAAAAGCACACCCCTTGCCAGGGGCGGCGTAGAATACACATAAATCCCCCCAGTTTCCTCTACACATTTAAACTATTCTTCCTTATTTCCGAGCCAGGTCACTGAACAGATTCCAAGTTTTGATCTCACTATTTCAATGTCACAATATCTCCCTTACCCACGATAGCTTCAACGACACCACCGGCCACAGCTACGGCTACGATCCCAACACCGGCTTCTACCAGTCCCCATCTCCTAGCGAACCGGCAATAGCAAAATCACCGTCGGCGGCAGTGATTAACTAGATATAGCCGGTTAGTTAAGGTTTCGGGGAGCACAGGCTCAAACCGAGAGCCGCCCAGCTCGGGCCATGCCGCGGACCCGGAAAGACCTTAAATTTGCAGCCAACGTCTGACGAGCGACGGCATTCATTTAAGATCTGCCTTTTATTGCTGGATCTCTGCGGCTTTGCAAGGAGCTGTATGTTATGGGATACGACTGATGTGCATATTGATTGATACGGCCCACTGTTTGAGTCGCCACCTCGGTCCCCTGGCTAATGGGAGAGCTAACAATAGTAAGAACATGGGGCTGTGCTAAAGTATTGGTCGAGAGGCTCAGTGTTTTAAGACAGATCCTCTGGCAAGCCTTCCTGTAGTCCGCAGACAAGATGCAACTTATATCAACGAGATGGGCCGCCGCTTTCCGGCCGTCGACAGCTCTGCTGGCTTCCCTGCCATGTTATTAGCAACTATCATTCACCATGAGGCGGAACAGCATCGTCCCAATCCGCTGGCCTTGCCGACGTATTCACTTGCTGTTTGCGTTCCTGGTGACAACTGTCATCTACTTCTGCATCCTACATCTGGTTCCATCTTCGATTCCCCTAAAATTCGGGTCCTATTCGGTCTGGTCTGATGGTGGCAGCGGCCGTGATTCCAACAACCAGAACCATGAGAGTGGATCGAGCGGTGCAGAACCGTCGATTCCGCCAGCCGAGCATGACGATAACATCGTTGAAATGGTGGTGGCCAGCATGAAGCGGGAGAATGTTACATGGTTGCACGAGTACCTGACGCAGTGGAAGAACATATACGTCGTGGACGACCCTGAGGCTGAGCTGACTGTCCCCGAAAACAAAGGGCGAGAAGCCATGGTATTCCTAACGTGAGTATCAGAGATATACTTCCACCTGTTCAAGCAGTATATATGTTAACATTTAAACTTAGGTATATAATTGATCGCTACGATTCACTTCCTGCGAATATATTCTTCCATCACGCAGAGAGATTCCAATGGCATAACGATAACCCCGATTACGATGCGTTGACTCTGCTTCAAAACTTCCGCCTCAGCTACCTTAAGAAGGAAGGATACGTCAATCTCCGCTGCGACTGGTCCCTGGGCTGCCCCTCAGCCATAAGGCCGTTTATCGATGCGACTCAAGTTTCACCGGGGGAGGGCCTTACATGCAAGCATATATACAAGCAGGCCTTTGAAGAGCTGTTTCCCGGCGCGAGTGTCCCGGATACTGTGGGCGTTGGATGCTGCTCCCAGTTTGCAGTCCGGAAGGAGACTATCCGGCGCCACTCCAAGGCAGACTATATGCGTTATCGCCAGTGGTTGATTGATTCTGAACATGACGACGGGCTCAGCGGGCGAGTGTTAGAATATGCATGGCATTGTAAGTTTTATTTGTGGCTGAACTGAGAATTAAGAATATGAACTGATGGTTTTTATAGTGATATTTGGTAAGGAGGCGGTCCACTGTCCCAACGCCGGGATGTGTTATTGTGAGGCGTACGGGTTATGTGATATGGATTGCAACGTGGCGCGTTGTGTCGGGCAGTATACCCTTCCTAAGTACTCGACACTTCCGAACGGCTGGCCCAAGGTGGGCTGGAACGGAGAGGATAGGCATTGGTCAGGCCCGGAATGAACGGGTATGCATATGATTTTGCATAATAATGGCGTTGGCGGGGATACTGGATTATTGGAGGCTTTTGTGTGCATTTCAACGGTTCAAGATGAGTGATGGTATAAGTGTCCAGGTCGTATAATTAATTCATTAGATGGCGTCAATATATAGTACAGTCAAATGTAGTGAAACATGGTCAACATCCAATAATCAGACATATATTGTGAATATTTACATGGATCCAGAAAGGGGATGAGAAGCGGCATTCTCGTGCTCAGCCTGCAGAGCAACGGGGTCATTCAGCTCAAACGCCGAGTTCCAAATGACTTTGGCAACTTGATCACTACCAGGGCCGTCCTGCTTCGAGCTCCGCCCGCCCACATGCTGGAAGACACTGGGCGTCAGGGCCCATCTAATCTCGTCATTGGCATTTGCATACTCTTCCAGCAGCGAATCAGCAAAGCCGATCTTCTTCGATTCATACCATGACACCACATCTGGTACTCGATCGTGTGGGAATACGAGTGCCTGAGTACAGCAGCCGAAGCGTGGCATTTGGTGGACGCCAGAGCGAATGGGCAGGACAGTTAGACGGCCAGAGGCGAAGAAGAGGATGATAAATAGAGGCCCGCAGGTAAGGCTGGTGAGCAGTATGCCCTTGTTTGAGAGAAGACTGTTGGCATGGCTGGGATGGCTGGTATGGTTGGGATGAGGGAGGCATCGTCTTATAGCCACGAGTATGACCCAGAAAACAGCGATGAAGAACAGGGAGCCGGCAAGATACGCGAGCCATTCCTCGTTGTTCCATCCCAGCAAGCCCTGGGTGTAGAACAGCCGTAGATATAAATCTGGCCTCGTTAGATACGTGATCATCCACAGTAAAAGATATCGTTATTGGTAATACTTACACTTCGATGCCCCCAGCTGCCTGGTCTGCCGGCCTGCATCCGCCAAAGCCTGCTTGGTGCGATGATACCAGCCGTCCATGGCCAGGACGTCGTCCTCCACCATCAGCACATGCGGCGTGTCCACGGCAGCACACGCCTTGAGCAGGTACGAATAATCGAACAGGCCCTTCTCGCGGAACAAGCCTCCATCCTGCTCGAGTTTGCGCAGATGGTCCAGCTTCTCCTTGTCAACATCGTAATATAGCACCTTATCCGCGAGGGCCGGGAGCCAGTTGCTCGCGTACGAAGGGTGTATGGACGGGTCGGTGTGAGGGATGAAGAGGATCAGGTAGACGTCCTGCCGCTCCTGCGGGCTAAGGTCCATCAGCAGGGCCCCGACGGTGGCCTCGATGTAGCTGACACCCTCGCGGGCGATCGAGGCGATGCCGACGCAGAGGCTGGCGTTGGTCTTCGGCAAGCCCGCCCCCGTCCCGGGCAGCGGCAGGGAGGCGTTGTCGATCGAGCGGTTCCGGGGTGCAGCCGCAGCGTCGATGTGCCGAATGAAGTTTGCAGCCTCTGCGGCCCTGAAGCGAGAGTACCTGGGCTCGTATCCCCGGCCGGCGTCGAAGAAGAGGGAGGTCGGGTCGCGGAAGCTGTGGGATCTGCAGTACTGCAGGAGCAGCAGGTAGCAGAGCACGAAGGCCGCCAGCAGGTAGCGCAGAGACCATCGCGGCGAGATCAGGGCGCCGCAGGAGGACAGCAGCCCGGCGAGAGGCCGCATTGCATTCTTATTGTTGCTGGCTGCGAGTCTGGAGTCTCTGCCAGATCTTCAGGCTGGGACGTTTGGTTGGTGATACTCGAGAGTCGCGCAAATTTTCACTGTCACGGAGTTTTATACACTACTTGTAGGCCGAGTTCCACAGCAAAGACTCGAAGCTAAGTAGGGTCTATCTACAGTATTAAGTCGAGAGTACAAGACAAGGATGTCCTCCTTATTCATGTTTGAAGGCAGTCCTCGCATCAATTGCAGAGCATCAGGGAGAGCAGTCTACAGTCTTTCTACGGAGATGTGACTAGATAATCATAACTACCAAGTGATGTAAGGAACAGATGAAGCTTGCATTCTCTCTTCTCTATCTATCTACCGTTCTTTTCATGCAGTCCAACGAGGCCGCTCCAAGTTTTGGTGAACTTCGATCATGCATCCTTGGTCCGGTGGTAGAGACAACCACGATGGATTTCTCATTTCCTTGAGATGAGTCGAAACACTGGATGACAACGTCCATGAGGCCTCTCTTCCGGTTGAGAAACGAAGCTGAAGGCATAGTAGTGACTACTGGTTGCCAGAATTTGAAGGTGTATTCGACGATGTATTCAATTTGGTTCAAAGACCCCCGTACAGGGGGAACCACGAGAAGGTATGAGGCCGGGGCAAAGTGAAGACCTCGCCGGAGAGTCGTTATATTCAGATACGTGCCGATGAGAAGTTCTTTGAGTAGCCATATCTCGTTACTATAATATGTCATGACAACGATTGTCGTTGGCGGGTAACAGCGCTCCACAAGGGAGTGGCCTGCTGTCACAGCGAGGCCGCAGCATAGCAAGCAGGCGGGGATATAGACCTTGCTATAACTCCAAAGGTCTCTTGCCATCGCCTCATTTCGGCAGCTGGTGTGTTGAAAGTCTGTGCTGAAGGACATATAGTTTAGGATCCATCGAAATCATGCTTAGCAGACGAAAGGTATGCATATTTACATACGGCTCGTCCTTCTTGCCTTTACCCTCGTGTAGCGTGGCAAGTAGTCTTTCAAAATAGATGTCATGCATCTCTCTTGACCACTCCGTATGCTCCAGCTCGATAGTAGTGATTCAATATTTTGGAATAGTCAGGCTAATTTAAAATCACTGGCAGTTCTGGTTGCTCAATGTCAATAGATAAAGTCGACATTTGTCGACTTATAGAGATCATGGCCATAATTCGTGGTATCAGAAGATGGCAATCCGCCGCCTCAATTGGGAGTCTGCCACCGACACTACACTGAACGAGGCCCCAAGGGAGTTTTTGAACTGCCGTCTGCCATCAGGATGTACGATAAATTTATTCGACTCATCAGGCACCACTCTTCGCTGCACCGTCTAGATAGCTAGATGGACTGCTGGATTTGAGGATATATACGGGCCGCCAGGTGGATAGATATGGGCGCTTCGTTCTATTTCTTACACTCAAATTTGCTGGCGCGGACCATCTTGGACCCCCTGAGATGTGTTTGCCATATAATCGCTTAATCTCACTAGCCGATGTGTTAAACCCTGGGCCATTGAGAGTAAGAAAGCTTAGGATGTCGAGAGCTTCAGGGACTGACCCGCCATGAGCCACCACCGCGTATTGTCTGTGCCGGAATATTGGACTGCGAGGCCGGTAGATGGGCTTCCGAAGTATCATCAATATTGCAGAATGTCTCTCTTCGTACTGCCGATGCTACTCCTCGAGGGCTTCTATGTATCTTGCAAATTCATACACATTCGGAAGCTCTATCAGCATTCCCAGTGGGAGTAGCTGTGTGGCCGGAGTAGGTTTCTTTGGCCTGGTTGATGCCACTGGACATGCTCCTGAGTAGGTTCGACTCCTTAAGGGGCTCGTAAGTAACGACCGCAGGGTATCTGGCAGTGGATGTGTATCAAACTGCTGAGCCAAAGGGGAGACTCTAGTTGGCAGTAGAGTCGTTATATCATTGACAATGGCTTAATCGGTTGTAGAGTCGTTATATATCTTTGAAAGGACGTTAGCCAGGACATGCTACCAATGTGGCATCCTTCGTGCCCGAGATATGAAGTAATAGTTATAGTAACTGTGCTTCGACCAGCGTATAGAAACGCCAGCCGCCCTGACATGGACATGCGTTGCGCAGGAGAGCGGCCGGCTCTATGGGCGACTCGACAGCCCGCAGCCCGCCCATCGTGAGGCAGTTGACTGAGGTTTTAACAAGAGCCAGCAGGTCTCTTTCTCTGACTTGGGGATTCTGGTTGCTGAAGGTCTCTTGACTGATGCAGGCTGAGAAGTTTCAGTGTCTGATCCTGCTTCTGGTCTGCGCTGGAAGTGTGTAAGGAAGATGGAGGAATCTGGCGAGAGACGCAGATCGCAGGGGATTTTATAGCCCGAGGGAGGGCAGTGAAGATGCTCCCTCTTCCAACAGACAATCACTCAGCAGCGTCACTGAAGACCGTCACTGAAGACCGTCACTGCCAGCCAGTTAACAGACGGAGTGACGGCTGGCGGGCCCTGGCCCTGCCCTGCCTCGCCTCTGGCACATGAAGAGACCGAGAGTCGCAACTCGGCCACAGCCCGTCTCGCACGCTCGCATGCCCGGGCTATACGAGCCGGCCGCCTCTATATAAAGGCGCGGGATACCCAGGCCAGAGACAAGATACCCAGACACAAGAGACAAGAGACAAGAGACAGGATACAGATACCAGAGACAGGATACCCTCCGTCTCCCCATGACCGTCGCAGCGCAGACTCCCATGCAGCGAGCGTGGCCGCAGCCCTCGCATCCGGCCGCCGTCCGCGTCGTCTCCTCCCGCCTGCTCGCCTCCATCGACCAGCACGAAGACGCAGACGCAGACGCAGACGCAGACGCAGATGCAGACACAGACTCCTCTGCAGACGATGAACGGGAGAAGCAAAAGGCCGCCTCCTTCTGTCTGACCGCCGTCGCCGCCCGCGATATCCCAGCCGCCTCGCTCGTCGCCCGCAACTCGTCCACCACCCTCGCCGCCGTCAAGGCCTACTCGACCGTCCAGGTCTCCCGCAACGCCCACATCGAGCTCAACTCCGACCTGCTCTACTGCAACCACTCGTGCGACCCCAACGTGCGCTTCGTCACGTCGACGCTGGCGGCAGACAGCCTGGCCGGCCCGCCTGGGGCTCCCGTCGCCGGTGCGCTGGAGGTCTGGAGCACCCGCGCCATCCCCGCCGGCGAGGAGCTGCGCTTCTTCTATCCCAGCACCGAGTGGGAGATGTCGCAGCCCTTTCGCTGCTCGTGCGGCGCCAGCCAGTGTCTCGGCTGGGTCGACGGCGCGAAGAAGACGGCCGCTGAGGTGCTGCAGCGGTACTGGCTGAGCGACCACATCAGGGCGCTGCTCGGGGAGAGGGAGCGCAATTGACCATAGACCATAGAATAGACTGCCATCAACTGCTGTACAGAGTATTGTTGAATATAAAAATAATCGATAGCTATTGATATAGAATGACATCATGATCCTGGTTGAATCCGCCGGTACTATTTTATATATCCCAGGCGATAAAACATCACCAACATCCCACATCTTCAATTGATACACCCGCATCTACATCTACATCTACATTTATTCTTTAGATATTCCTAGATATTCCTAGATATTCTTCTTAGACTGTCTTATTGTGATACCATGGCCCCCATCCCCATCACCATCGTCACCGGCTTCCTGGGCTCCGGCAAGACCACGCTGCTGCTCAACCTGATCCCCCAGCTGCCGGCCTCCTACCGTCTGGCCCTGCTCAAGAACGAATTCGGAGACGTCGCAGTCGATTCCCAGCTGGCCGCCGCCTCCTCCATCTCCGGCGTGCGCGAGCTGCTCAACGGCTGCATCTGCTGCAACCTCGTCGGCCAGCTCAGCGACGCCCTCCTGCAGCTCCGAGACACCGTCAACCCAGACCGCATCGTCATCGAGACCAGCGGCAGTGCGTTCCCCGCCACTCTAGCGATGGAGGTCAATCGGGTGTCCAGCGAGCGCAAGGGAGAGTTCGTGCTCGACGGCGTGGTGGCCGTCATCGACGTGGAGAACTGGGAGGGCTACGAGGATACCTCTTACACGGCCAAGTTGCAGGCCAGATACACCGACCTGATCGTGTTCAATAAATGGGAGCTCGTCTCGGAGCGGCGGTTTGACATCTGTCTGGACCGGGTGGGCGATCTCGACGTGCAGACTGCCTGGGTCAAGTCGGACAAGGGCAGAGTCGACAGAGACGTGCTGCTGGGCATCGACGGGGCCCTGCTGGCGAAGATGGCTGACTCTACGGAAGCAAAAGACGCTCTGCGGAAAGCAGAGCATGCGCACTCACATCAGTCGGAGGTCGAGGTGCTGTCGGTCTCGCTGGCGGGAGACGCAGACGCAGACGCAGTGGTCGTCGATTCAGCTGTCTTTTCGGCCTTTCTGCAGTCCTCGCCCAAGGACGAGATATACCGGATCAAGGGGACTGTGCGGTTTGCCTCTGACCAGATCCCAGCAGACTCGTCCGGTGAGGTCACCGCTGCTGCTGCTGCTGCTGCTGCTGCTGCTGTCTCTGATGCGCCGCCGGTGCAGACATATATCCTCAACTGGGCCTTTGGGCGATGGACTCTCACCCCGTCTCCGTCAGAAACAACGACGGCTGCTAGACTCACCCTGATCCTCGCCCGGTATGAAGCGGCCAAGTGGAAGAAGAAACTCGAAGCAGGACAGCTGCTCAGGGCCGCTTCTTCCCCTGCCACGGCCTCGCTGCAGGTCGACATTATTGGCTAGAAACTGCTCCATAACTACATTACACTACATATGCAGAATCTGCAGAATATGCAGAATATGTGGGATATGCATCGAGAAGGATGGCTTGCATGATACATGACGTAACGATATAGATCTAGAGACCGATGTTTATACAGATACATCTTTATAGATACGGCTGATACGTGATAAAACTACGATTGATAGACCAAGTTTTGCCAGATGGCGGATTTTTTTTTTTTTTTTTTTTTTTTTTTTTTTATTAGAACTAAATAAAGAGCAAAATTAACCAGATAATCAAATCACCCCCTTTTTTGTCTTCCTTTTTTCTTTTCCTATAATTAAATTCATCTCAAAAAAAAAAAAAAAAAAAAGCAATCAAAACTGCAAATCTTGTATCTTTCACACCATTTTGATAAAATTACTGCTTCCACCACAATATAATATCACTCCCTCTACTTCCTGTTGTAGTTGTAGTTATCACTATTAATAACCTAGAAGCGCCGCCGCACCAGGCTCAGTGACAATGTAGATCACCTCATGCTTGTCGGTGAAGCCATTAAAACGCGTTGCGCTGCACTGAGTGTAGGCTCCCATGTTCTCAAAGTAGAGCCAGTTGCCTACGCCCAGCAGGCCGTTCAGAGTGACGCGCTCGCTGATCACATCAATACCATCGCAGGTCGGGCCCCAGATGGAGTACTCAATTGGCGCAGAGGTGTAATCGTCGTCCTTGGTTAGGATTTGGGCAACAGGGTGCTGGTGGTCGAACACAATGTTGGAGAAGTTGCCGTATACCCCGTCGTTTAGATAGATCATATAGGCACCGCTTGAAGAGGGAGTCGAGGCGCGGCTGGGGGTGGTGGAGTCGGACTCGGAGTCGGACAGCAGCTCTTCCACGCCAACGTCGCGACGGGCGATCACGTTGGCCGCAAGGGTGAAGGCGGTGGCGACATAGTAACGTCCTGGTTCGGCGATGACTCTGATGTGTGGTGGGAAATACGTGTCCAGTGCGTCGCCCAGGGCAGCGGCAAAGGGCTCAAAGGTGTCGTCCGAGAACCCACCGCCGACATCGAGAACCTTCAGGTCGAAGCCGATTTCAGCGGCGCAGTCAAAGACGAAGCGGGCGTCCTGGACGGCCTTGATGAAGGATTTGGGGTCCTCGGCTCCCGATCCGACGTGGAAGCTGACGCCAACGACATTGAGGCCCAGTCCGTGAGCGAGTTCCAGCAGTGGGCGAGCAGACGAGAGAGAAGCACCGAACTTCATGCTTAGACGGCACAGGCTGGCGGAGTCGTCGGTCAGGATACGCAGGTAGAGCTCGGCGTCCGGGCACATCTCTTTGATCTTGTACAGCTCATCGGTGTTGTCGAAGGTCATCTGCTTGACGCCAACCTGGGATGCATAGCGCAGGTAAGACTTGGTCTTGCATGGATGGGCGTAGATTATGCGGCTCGGGTCAACGCCAGCAGCGAGGGCGAGGTCGATTTCAGCCTTGGAGGCACAGTCAAAGCCATTACCCAGCACGGCCATCAGACGGAGGACCTGAGGGTCTGGGTTGCATTTCACAGCTATGACGGAGTTAGCATTATATCAACACAACTGATAAAAAGGAATGAACGACGTAAAAAAAAAAAAAAGAAAAGAGAAAAAGAAAAGAAAGAGAAGAAAAGAAAACATACCATAGAAGGGCTTGACGCGAGGAAGATTGGTCTTCCAGCGAATATGCTGGCGATAGACCTCACCGAGGTCAGCAACGTAGAATGGATCCTCCTCTCCAGGATAGCAGGTTTTGACATCGACAGCAGCAGCCTTCTGCTTCAAGATTTCAAAGACAAGCTGTCTGGACGCGGCTCGGGCCTCAGCCAAGTGGGATATGCCGCGAGTTTCATCGTCTGGACAATCGACATGTTTAAGTTTCCCATGTACATGATCATTGAAATATAGTCTTGGGAGGTCGCTAGCCGAAGGTGCCATAACCATCAATGCGTCTGATTTGGTGGTTGGTCTTTTTGGTTTGATTGTCAGGTATTATGTGGGAGTACCACGTGTTAGGGAGGTCTGAATGGATCGCAGCCTTCGCTCACTGGACTTAGCCTCCTCGACTCTTCCTCTGGAAGAGGAAGAACCCGCTCGTCATCTTCATCATTCAGCTCAAGGGTTTCAGAATTGGTGGGGGTGTAGAGGACGTCTACCAAGCGCAAAGATGGAGAGCTTTGGAAGGTGTCCTGCAGAAGAGGGAGATTTTTAAGGAGTCCGGTGAAAAGGGCTGGTGGGAACAACGTATGAGGCTGGAGTGGCGAGGACACGGTCGATCAAGGTGCCTTTGGGAGAGAGACCCCAAAGGCGGTTTCAAGGTCGAGAGAGGAAATTTATATTCCTGCCAACGATGAGACGAGGTTAGCTAGCGGCTCGGAGTGACTGCAACGATTGTGGATAGTGACGATGACCGCGGTGAATGAGGGACTCGGGTGAGGTGAATTGGTCGAGGCAGAGCCACCATGGTGACGATATCTGGGGGGGGCAAGGCAAGGTCAGCAAAGAGCTCACCTCTCAAGCAAAGGCCAAAATCAGGCTGTCTGCAGCAGACAGGAGAGAGAAGAGCACAGCTGAGCGTGAGAGCAAGAGTCAGAACTGCCAGTCGACGAGGAGCGAGGCCGTGATTTATAGCAGCAGAGCGCGGATGGGGTGACTGTGAGGAAAGAAGGTCGAAGAAAAAAAAATTGGGCTGGTGGTGGGAAGTTGTGTGCCTTAGTCATCAGGAGCTAGCTAGCTTCGCCCGGGGTTTGGCATGTTTGCAGCGCGCAGAAAAGGAGGTGATGGGCAGCAAAGACGCAACGGAGCAAAAGAGCAGAGCAGAGAGAGGGACCCTCGTCCATGCATTGCATCGCGCCTGCAGCCTTCTTGCTTTTTCCTCCTTTCGTTCATTTTTCATTTCCTGCTGGCCGTTGCGGAGGTGGCTGAGGAGGGATCCGTCCATACTTCGTTACCGTAACTAACGTCGTGGGATGCAAAAAAATACCCCCCAAAAAGAAAAAAAATCCACACACCCTCGTCCAGGCTGCAGACCGTAAAGTTGTATGAGGCATATGTTGGCCGGCAGGACGGCGAGTACGAGGGTGATGATGACACTGAGAGGGGCAGCCGAAGCCAGGAGCCGTCGCGGATGGATATCCTTGTGTTGCCGGTTCCGTTTTGTGACTCGTTAGTCCAGGCAAGGAGGAAACTCTGGTTTTCAGGTCCATAAATCTGTAGCTCGGTGTTGCGAAATTTGGTGCAAAGCATACGCGGGATCCTTTTCGTATTATCAATTGTGGGTGTTGTCCATTTAATTTTTTTTTTTCGGCTCCAGCTGAACTCTCCAAAAGGGAGCAGCACCCTTGGACAGACTATAGTTATCGCAATAGCAGTAGCCACAGCGATGCCGTCTTCAGCTTGCGCTGTATCACCGACCTGGTAATCCTCCGAGCGGGAGGTTTGTCTCCTATAGAAGAAAATAGTTCTGTAGAACAAACCGCGGAGTACTGCCGAGTGAAAATTGAGATTTTGGGAGATCGAGGAGCTGATAGGGGCGATGTGACCAAAAATTCTGAGCAATTATCGGAAAACTAGGCGTGAGGCATCGATCGGTTACCGAGAAAGCAAATGATGGAATTAAGAGATGGATTCTTGTCCAAGGATAGTTGCAACCTGAGATTTGTCTAACCAATAAGGCGATTTTTTTGGGATGGTGTACTTCGTAGAATATGCTCATATCGGAGAAGGAGAGAGAGAGATGCATTCATCGTAGAGAAGAGGGTGATGACCGAAAACAGTATATCTCGATATCTACCCTTTCGTCTGAGCAGACACTAGGCAGCTGAATGCGAGTCTTGCTGCAAACGTCCAGTCTTGCACGATGCATAAGCTCGAAAAAGACAGCTTCGCTCTCGTGGCGTCTTTTGAGTGCTACGATGATGGCAGCCTGAGGAGACCGTTCAACCAGCGCAGCCATGGTGTCGACGAGAGCAGGCAGGCTGTCCGCATTGTACGTACAGTCGGATACAACAATAAGGTCATACTGCTGCTCTGAGACCCTGCTAGGGATGCTCGTCTCCCAGTCAAGGACTTGGAAGTCAATCTTAGAGCCCGCCGCTGGGTTGGACATGTTGATGTTACGGCTAACGATGTCGCGAACCTCTTCAAGGTCTGTCAACAGGACAGAGCAGTCCGTCAACGACTGAGCAAGCGCGATTCCGACAATACCACAACCCGCTCCCAGTTCAATTACGTTGAAATGCGACTTGTTGTTGTTCTGTCGAATCAGGTCCTTGAACATGAGAAACGGAGACGTAGCCTGGCCATCGTCACCGTCAGCAGCAACAACAACTGGAGCAAGAGTCTCTTGGAAGAGCATCAGCCATGCGAGCGAAGCATCCCTGTACAAGTTAGATAGAGCCATTGAATATATAATGCATAAGAAAGAAGAAGAAGAATACAAGGAAAAAACGGAGGTTGGTAGTTAATAATGGAATCTTCAAAATCCTACTGATATCTAGAATCCGTAGTAACCGCCGTCGTCCATCACCATCGTCATCAAACATTGGAGACAAAGTTACAACCATCGTTATCATGGTTGTATCTCCTGTCTGCGCCCTACGTACCAGATATGTCTTGCGAGATTGTTGCCAGTCTCTTCCCATATCCGCACCTCAGCGGGACATCGAGTCCTGAGCCATCTGAGTGCCAGCTTATCAGCCTGAGGAGATTCTGGGCCACCAAAAGGCGGACTCCACGCTGATATCACTGTTGGGATAGCTGACGAGACAGCAAAGCCGTCGTCGGGTCCGAGTCGGTGTCCTCGGTCTGCCGGGCCAACATGTAACTGCACTGCGTGGCGTCGCAGATCCAGCTGAAGACCATCAATGGCTATCAACACCTGCCGGGATGCGGCTGTCCAGGTGAAGTTCTTCTGTTTTATGCACTGCACATTGCATCTGTCATTCTTGAGGCTGTCGTTGTCGCTGTCGACACGCAGCACCGAAGACCTGAGCTCGACCTCCTCTGCCAGGAACGAGTCTCCCAGGTCGGTTGTCAGTGTGACCAGCGTCTTGATGCTGCCTGTCTCTATCCTCGGCGGCTTCAGAAACCTCACATAGTGAGGCATCTTCACCTCCCCTCTCTTAATCTTCGTCTTCGTCTTCTCGTCGTTGCGAGTTTGTCGTTGTTGCAAGTTTTGCTTCTTTTTTGTTTGACGTTTCGAGACAAGAAAAGGAAAAAGTAGCGTGCTTATGTAATCAAGGCTGGTCAACCCCCCAACATGGCGCTTTTGCAGGCTTGACTCTGACATCGAGAAGATCAAGTCATGACAGCTTCAGACTATCCGGTTCACGACGCCCTCAGCCGCTGTTTGTGCAATGAGTATCCGCATGCGAAGCTATCTACCCGACTGACTGCCCTGGAATGTTTGATATCAGCGTTTTGAAACTATACGATAACACCTAGAGATGCCCCCAGCATAGGCGACTCTCCGCTTGGGCCGCCCTACCGTATATACTGTTATACCAACCACATCAACAACCAACGCTGGGCAGACGGCGCTTTTCAAAGGTCGAAGGGACGCCTAATAAAGCTATTTTTGCGCTACCTGCTACTTATATTCGCTCATCATGCGCCCAGGAGACCCCCGTATTCGCCAGACTATCAACCAGATCTCGCAGAACCTCGAATCCGCCAATGAGTCCGCACAGGAAGGGATATATGCCTTTGCCCACCACTACATAGAGCCGTGCTTCTTGAGTGTACAGGAGTGCTTTACTTCTTGTACTGCTCCCTGTTTCCCCAGCCGGGATGACCAGCTGCGTCGACGGCGGCGAGAACGCTCCAATGGTCGCGCGGAGTTTACCTTTGGATTCTACGATGATTGGGACTACGATGAGGATGCACGCGAAGATGGCCTGCTAGGCTGGCGGAATGATGAGCTGGACAGACTGTTGGCTGGCAGCAGCTCTGCGCGCCCGTCTAATGACCAGCCGCGCATGAACAGGCGAATGAGTTACGGTGCCAGGAGGAGGGGATCCATCTTACCCAGTGACGAGCGCCAGGACCCAACAGTTATCCCGAGCTCATCTATACTTGGTTTCCTCGAACGGTTTCCGTGGAGGATAGGCGCCAGGGGCATTCGGTATCGTCCATCTGCTGCCAATTTACAGGACAATCCTGGTGGCCTGAAGCGTGATGTTCCAGAACAAGCACCATTACTGGAAGCCAGCGATGAAAGTGATCATTCTGGGGACAACAACAAGGACGGCGGTCATAACTACAAAGCAGAAGCATCTCCGAGGAAGCGCCGTGGCACTCAGTCGTCTCATGAAACCAGCAATTCACTCAGTTCCCGCGGCGACCTTATTCACAGCGACGAAGAGGAGGATGCCGTTCCTCTGGATGATGAGATCAATATAATGACTCTCAGTCGCCACAGACCCAGCCTGGGCGGCGGTGATGAGTCTATCTTTTCAATTCCACACTCTGTCACTACCTCGACAAAAGAGACAGCTTCATCTCGAGCATCACGCACAAGTAAAGGAAAAGGCAAACGAAGAAAAAGAGACAAAGATTTGAAACGGCGCCGTACCATGTCGAAATCATCGCACTCAACCTCGGAACTAGATACCAGTATCGTGATTGAACCGACAGTGGAAGGAGCCTCGTTAGATGACTTAAAGAGAGAGGAAGAGGAAGCTCGACTAGAGGAAGAAACGGCGATAGAGAAAAGCCGGCTGGCTGCAAGGGAACTCGCTAGACAGAAAGGGCTGAAATTAGCCGATTCCGCTCTAGAGGTGAATTTTCCTACTGCACGTTAATGGATACATCGTACTAACATCCATCAAGCGCTTCTCAAGTAACGCTCATGAAGAAATCAATAGCCCCGTAAAGCTGCCTCACGCTGAAGCAATCTCCACTTCATCGTCGCAATCGGAACGTATTAATTCCCCAACCGATCAAAGCCTTGGACATCCTCAACCTACGTCTCCTCTCAACAGCAACTCTCAACCCCACACACCTGTTTCAATATCTCAGACTGAAAAACCAAGCCAAAGTCATGGCACTACCATCAACGTAAAGAACCCCGATCTCGAACCCACTTCTTCTAAACGCCTTGATGCCGACCCACCAGACTCATGAGTTTATGACATGAACACCTGACCACCCTTGCATTTCCGCCACTGCCATACCTTACTTACCTCTTAACTACCTTTCGTCCTGTAGAATATTTGTGACCCATGCCCAGGAGGCCATTTCAGCATCAGGGAAGCTTGAAGCTTCCACGCCCCGTAAAGTTGAACATGAGTGTTCAGCTTGCAACGCATGTATATGTTGTCATTTACTGTCATACAGCAAGCTCTAATGTCCCATGGAAATTGTTTTTACTTGTGGATCATTAGGGACAATAACGGCTCATGCATATATGTTATGAACTTTTTCTTCGTTCAGTCCGGCTAATTAGCGTAGGACATGCAATAATAATACACTTGGCCGTCCTCGAAGCTCTATCCTCGTACAAGTTAGTCATTATCGAAATGATTCAAAGGTCCAAGCCAAGTTTCCCAGCGCAGAATCCTACTGTGTAACGCCCTCGCTTATCTGGTAGTAGGCCTAGTTTCGAACAAGGGAAGACGCTATTCTTCAAGAAACTTCTGCCACTCCGGAATTTCCTTGACGATCTTCCGCATGTACCTCTCCAGCTGCTTTGCACATTTAACGAATATCGAGAATTCACTATTATATGTTCGGCAATTACTGAAAATCAGCTTAAGATCGTCAAAAAGGACCTTTGGAGTAGTGTAGTAATCATGCTCCAATCGTTCTTCCATCGTCGACAGATCCATGGGTGATTTAATAATGTTGTAATAATCGGGGACTTTATCTTTGTCAACAGGGTCAGCAAAGGGCCAGGCGCTTTTGTGATTTCGCATAAGAGTTAAAAAATGCCGGAGTTCCTTAAAATAAGGCCCGCGGCGTGGCAGCATCCGTGATAACTCGTCCATGTCAAGAGACCAGCCAGTTGCACGAATAGCAGGGATAGAGAGTGGATCGATTGGGGCGATGTCACCGTGGCTGTTAACCCACTGCTCAGGTGGCTGATGGACAACATCATTGGTGTTAAAGGTACGTATCTTGGCCTGGACACACTCCTTCTGCTTAAGGAGCATACGGCCAGCTTCAAGGTACCTGACTCGGGGAAGCAAGGTGCATTGCATAAGCGTTCCCCCTTCATAGTCTTTGATATACCCCATCCAGACAGACTCTTCGAGGGTGATATCCTTTGTGAAACCCTGTTTCTGAAAGTAGCCAATGGCATAATTATCAGCGTAAGTTAAAAAATGCATCACTGGGGAAGTAGCTCTGATATAATCCTTCAGATGGGCCATAAGGTGCGCCCCATATCCTTTTACTTGATGCTTAGCGGAAATTGCACAAAACACTATTTCTGCAAATTTGCGAGCGCGGAATTCCCGATACGATATTCCGCCAATAACCTCAAGGGGCATCTTAACAAGGGCTAGAGACACATGAGCACGGTCGTAAACGAGACGTGCGATATAAGCCCCGGGCATTTCCGGGAGTTGTTTTTGGAATAGGCATTTAAGACCCGTGAGAATAATTGTACTTTCTCGGGAACCGTCATTGTTGACTACCCGGTATTCTATCTCGCCTCTCTGTTCTTCCAGAACCGCAGGCTTGACAATGTTATTAGGACATATTTGGTATCTGAGGGGTTGTTGGGGGGTTGATGGTATACTTACTTTGTCAGGGAAAGGAACCCGTTGAACAATAGCAGAAATGCTGACATCCGGCACTGTCGGCCCGCAATCAATGGCTTTGTTTCTTTTGGCATCAAGGGCGCTAGAAAGTTCTTCGGCAGCCGGCCGCTTGTGATTCTGCTCGCGTTCAGCTGGACATGGTTGCTCCAACTCTGTTTTGTCCATCTGTATTGAACGCCGGCGAGGTTGAAATTAAGATAAGTAGCTAAAGTCTATGCAAGCTATCTGCGCTTAGACAACGACATCCTTTTGCCCGAATAATAAGAAGTCAATCTTCTCCATAGAAGTGATGTTAGTTCATGTTATTGCGGCGAAATTGAGTTCAGGACATTCTGAATTACTGAAATCTTATTGGCTGAATTTCGGAATTAAAGGAGATCCGCGTGCATGGACCGGGTCGGGACGCACCTTCCTACATTGGGAAGTAAACACCGGTGAAGAGGTTATTCCGGGATGGCACGTGATGGAACCTCAGACTCCTGATATGCGGGTGAACTTGCAAGTGGGAAGTGAGGTGGCTGTAGTTATCTAAGAGGCAGATGGTAGGTCTTGTGCTGCAGTTGATATCATATTTCTCATCATATATTCAAGAAGTGCTCTTCAGATGGAATCAGGAGGGACGGTTACCTGACCCTCAGATAAGCTTTTCTTGCCAAGATAATGACTAATTTAGATATGGCGAATCAAATCTCAACAGATTGACCAATAATATAGTTTAGAATAGACCCACTGCAAATTCATTTTCATTGGAGGGCGTAATATAAGTACACACACGACAGAATATGTACATCTTGACTGTTCAATATTCAACTGCTCGTCTTCAATAGATAATGGGTGTCTTCTCTGTCTATCAGGGTGTTTTATGGGCCTCTTAAGCACGGCTACAACCGCGCTAAGGAAAACTCTAGAGTAATGCTTTAAAGCCCTTTCCAAGCGTGCCGTCCAGGCCCAGGAAAGCAACGACTTGTCCAAGGTGATCTACGCCAAAGAACGACTCAGTCTCACCCTTGGAGTTGGTGCATTCCATCCACGGCAAGCCGAACGCACCGGATTCAACGGACCGGTCCGTGTTCGATATCAGCTTCTGCTTTATTTCGGCAGTATTTGACTACCCTCACAGTTAGCGGGAAAAAAAAAAAAAAAAACAGGAGAGAACCCAGTTTCACATGTATGATGATATCCTCCAGACTCTCAAAACCTCCTTACCTTCTCCGCTACTTTGATCGCAGCGTCTTTACCAATCACAGTCTCCAGCACCGGCACATAACCTTCCGGTTTGATAACAGACGAGTCTCTATTGACCCATAGCGTATTGTATAGCGCATCAATGCAGCTCGCCAATTTTTCAGGGTGATCGGCCGCAACGACGCAGAGAGCCCGCTGGACCTGCATGAAAATCAGTGAGAAGATCACAAGCAAAAGAAAGGCAGAAGATTTTCAAGAGTCATCGCACAGAAGCAACGACGAATACTTAGTACAGCGAGGGGCCTTCACCGCCGGAGATTAACTTACAGCTAGAGTAAAAACAGGAAATCCGTCTGGCATAGCCTCAGTAATGGGAACTCCCAGTAGCTTTGACCAGCGCAGGCGCTCCACGTTGATCCATTTATCCTTGTCTGCGGGATTTAAAATATATGAAAATTAGACGAGCCTGCAAGAGGAGATTGAGCAGAGCAAGTGGAGGACGGGTCAACAGCCTACTTTTGATACGGATTGGAGGAGTGTTCCCCGTAGCCTGGATGATGGCCCCGAGCAGGACAGGGACGTACGTCGTGGTGCATTTTGCAAAAACAGGGGAGTTCTGGCGCCATCGAGAGCGCATGTCAGATCAATCAAAGCCCATGCAAGGAGCAAGAAGCAAGAAACAGGACGACCAATCTCGTTCTTACCCTCAGCACATGGTAGGCGATGTAGGCAAAGGGGCTGACGATGTCGACGTAGAGAGTGATCTTGGGCGCAGCCATCTTGGTGTCCGTAGAGGGCAGGCCGGGAGCAGCAGCAGAAAACCGCCGGTCAAGCGATAGCGCAGAGGCCGAGGATGGAGAGGCCGACAGGAGCGGGAGATGCTGACTGCTGCAGGCGTCTGTTAGCCGTGGCTATGGATGACTTTCATGCATAGGGGGAAGAGATCCCGGAGTTATCAACTTGGAGAACAACCCGATCAGGCGGAGATTGAGGCTTTTGACCCACCGAGACTGCCGGGGCCGAGGCATCGCCAGCATCGCACGCGGGCTCAGGAGGCGCCGGGGAAGCATCGCGGGCTAAACTACAGGGAGATGACAGAGAATGAGTAGTAGAAGGACGACGATGAAGCTATTTTGGGTCTCTTCTGGCGCTTGATGTGAGCCTCAGTGCTGGGATCTCGCCAGGCAGCCGGCTAACCAACGATGTAGTTATCCTGGCTGGATACGATGTGAACCGAACAGCGTCCCAACAAGCGCCAGCCGCAGGGATTAACTGCTCAACACGTTGATGAGGGTCGATCAACCTCATCATTCTCACCAGATAGTGACATCATGCTGATAGACGACGGCCAGCGTGATGGGCTCCACGCCTCTCTCCGTCGCAGTGTTACATACACCCCGTCGCCTCGAGGGCTGCTTGTTGCACCCCATGGAACCAGCAGCCGGCGGCGTGGACGGTGATCAACTGATTGATACCCCAGTGAATAACGATGTCAAGCCTCACCAACTCCCTGCTCGGTGGCTTCTCTCATGATGCCCTGCTCGTCACCGCGTCCTTCTCTGGTTTCTCTGGAGGGGGCGTTAACTCTCTGTGGCCAGGCTGGCTCTATCGCGGTTTCTCTCGAGGATGTGTTTATTTATATCAGCCGGGCCAAGTGTGAAGGGCGTCTTCTCTGTCTCTCTCTCGCCGGTTAATATGTTCCTCTCAGTCTGTAAATATTCTCGCTTCACTGGCCTGCCTCGTTACTCCGTTTCTTGATAAGAGCTCCAGGGCTGCCGTTTGCCGAATATCAGCCGTCTCTCCGTAGAGGCGGCCAGACCCCCCAGAATGCTACACAGCGTCAGCAACACCATGAATGAAACGGGCACGGTCAAGATAGAGACTCCAGATAAGACCGAACAGCTTCCAAGGACATTTCTAGACCCAGAGGGTGGAACTCCGATAGCAACCAGCCCCGATGAATCATTGAACATACAGAGACGCCAGGGAGAATACAGCCATCGACCGCCTGTCTGGAATATAAGACCGCTCCAAAACGAGCCGCCTGAGCCGTCAGATTCAGAAGCGAGTCCAAGTCCAGACATCCGAGCAGCTCATCGAGATCCAGCCGTTGCGGACGCATGTCAGTTTTGCCTGCAGCGACTACCGGACCCAGCTCTGTCGTCTAGCGCCCAAGTCCAGCGTCCTTGTCCAGCACTCGAGAAACCGCCTACGATGGGGAAATCTCTGCGAAAGACACTCTCCTTCTTACGAGATCGGTCCAAACCGTCTACTTCCACCATCCCGCCTTTCAACGATAGCCCGATAACAAACCAAGACCTTATCCTTCCACGACTCCGGACTCGTGGTAGGCTTCCTGACGGCACAGTCTATGAGGAAGGCAGCACAGTAGCCACGGATAGCGATGGCTCTGCTCCCTCCAGGACTTCGTGGTCCAGGTTTACCGGCTTTGTTGCCGGCCTCCCCTCCCGCCTGAGAGCATCTACACGGAAAAGAAAAGTCAAAAAGAGGTCTCCTTATCAAACCGTTGCTACAGACTCCTTGGGCTCCTAGCCTCTGCATATTGCTATCCTCCCTGTCTATTACGTTTATTATTCTTTTGATCAGCCATTCCTACTCCTTTCTTTCTTCATTAGCATGGGTGACCTAGGTGTTGGTTTATCTCTCTCTCTCTCTGCGTCTGCTAGCTAGAATTACTACAATGGAACCAAGTTTATAACTTTCTTTCTAGTCTTCATTGATGTGCGGAGAAAATGGTAATAGTTAAACTGATTGACATAATAAGACCGAAACCTCCAACTCCGTCGCTGAACGCTGAATCTATGGTATAATATCTATGATCTTTGCATCATGCGGTAAACCCAACTCCTAATTCCTCCCCCAGTCAAGCTTTGGATCGAAATATCCCCGCTGGATACGCTCGAGCGTAGCCGGTCGTAAAAAAGGCGGCTCTTCACCGTCTTCAAAGACGTAATTTAGGTTAACTGTGCCTTGCGCAGGGGTACCAGCCCGGCTGCTAGCCTCATACTTCAACAACGCATGGCTATTTGGAGACGGGCGGGAAGGCGCTGGAGTAGCATAAGCCGACTCTGCTCTATAGCCCTTCTGGACCGGCGGATTCAAGCCAACAGCCTTCATAACAATAGCAGTGATGCTAACGTACGGATGCCCGTTGCCAAACAGGTACGTCACTATACCTCCAAGTCCTTGGTCCCGATTATTATACGTCTGGAGGAGATATTTTCCAATCTCAACGCTGGTCTTGCCGGCCTTTTTCTGTCTCTCAAGCATGTTGCGCACCTTGAGTCTCTCGCGTGAGTCCATATCATACGAATACTGTATGCCCTCGATCTCTACAACGCCCGTGTCTCGTTTCTGAGCCCCTCCATATTGCACCATGGAACCGCTCTCTGCGTTCTGGAAGCTATATGCTTGTCCTGCATCAAGGACATTATGATGGCGTATAGAACTCACAGGACTGACTGCATATGGGACAGAACTTCTACCATCTGTGGGAGTGTTAACAGGGCTTATCCCACGCATTGAGAATAGAATCGCAAATATGAATATGGATGCTTTCTCCTGGCACAATAAGAGAGTCAAAGCGAGATTGGATCTAAGGGCTGATGATCAATAATTTGGCTGGTTCTCCTGGGTAGCAACGTAACCCGGATGATGGTATATTGAATCACAACGTTGGATTCCTGGGTAGTTTCTTTCAACTACCCCTTTAAGCACACCTGGCGATGCAAAGGGTATTCGTTAAAGACAAAGCGGAAATTTGATGGTTCAATAAAATAGAAACAGGCAGTGGTAAAGAGAAAAGAGGAGCAAGAAGGAGCAGCTTTTTATATTGGAAGCAAGGCCACTTGAAAAGGGCTCTAGTGATATAGCGGGTCTCCCGTGAACTCACCGAGCTCGGTAGAATACATGAGATCATCAGTGTTAGTGATTTCAATCTGGCTGGTAGGATCCACGGGCATCCGGAGGGCAGGGGACTTCCTCTAAAACCGACCTTGAAGAGGTATCCCAAAAACATGTGAACAAAGGAGAAAGAATATTCCTTTGAAAGAAGTGAGAAACAATTATAGACACTCATCACTAGTGTCAGGTATTCACTGGGTATTAAAGTATCATACACGCAAGTAAGATCTCTAGGAATACAATTTGAAGGGTATTTTAGTGAATTAAAGTAGTATTCTATACCCATAAACGCCACTCAGGTCAAAACATTCTAATAAAACAGGACAAAAGTGACTCGACAGGAGGAAGAGCTACAACAAATTATCAAATATGGTATCACTGCATATTAAAACAGGCTAATTCAATAAGTCGAGACCAAGAAAAGACGTGCTAGTGTATAGGGTAAAGGGCAATATTCATGGCGAGGGTAAGCAAATTCAAATGCTACCCTTTTAGAATAGCTGGGGTGAAGCTAGATCATAGCCAGAGAACCCAGCGAACACCCCTGAATGCTCCAAATGCAAGTAGCCGGATTAGTTTCCAGATCATGACGCTGATCCAAACAACCCAGAAAACTCCCATAAGCATCCATTCAAAGATTGCGGATAATAGCGTGATGATGGAGCGTATTCGGCGATTTCGCTTTCTCAGGCCCTTATTCAATATATTCTCAAGCCTTTTGACAGGCAATGTACATTTTGTCCCAAGTTCACCTGCCAGGGTTTCCGCCCGGGTCGTTAACGGTATTATGCGAAGCGTGAGCGTACTACTAATCTGTATCTCGAGGTTTCGGATTCTGGATTGCATGGGTGGAGCCTTAACTTTGGTAAAATCTTTGATGGTCTTATTGTAGGCAATCACACGCTCGTCAAATTCTGTGACTGTTCGTCTGGCGCGAAGCGCAGCTGCTCCTGAGCTTAGAATATATGGACCGATATTGTTGAATTTAACCGGGTCGTTCAACCACGAGTCAGCGAAAGGTGCAGAAGAGCTCTCGGCATAACGACATATTTCCAAGGCTTTGATGCCTGACGATAGGAGACGAGCGCGAGCGAAAGAAATGTCTCGTTTGCTAACACGGCCAGAGCAAGGGATATATCGAGGTGTCCAGTTCTTCGTAATCTCGTCAAGACTCATTGACGTGGATATATCCTGGCTAGTCAAACCCATATTGGAATCAGGGTCTCGAGTTTCTGTAGTCATCTTATCCTCAGCGACATCATCCTTATCATTTAAAGGCCTGGTTTGTGGACTGGAGGTGGAATCCGGAAGCTGTCCTTGATGTACTTTGGAATTATCAGAGTCCACCTTTTGTGCTGGGCTGCAGAATGAATCGTCCTCTGTGGGTATCTTGGTATCGGCATCAACATATTCTGATAAACTCGACGCAGACGATCGCCTTGAGTGGCTGAAATTGTCTTTCTTCCGTATTAAGTCTCCCACCCTTGACACTTCACTCCCAACTAACTCAGCGATCCGGGTTCCCTTAAGGAGCCTTTTCCAGTCTTGTTGACCGCTACTGCGAGTATTCTTAGCAGGAGAACTATCTGCTCTTCGGAAAATTGGAGTCTTCTGGCCCTCTGGTCCCGAAGGAGAGCCTGGGGGAGAGAGGTTAGAGGTCGTACGGCGATGAGATAGAGTGCCAAGGTCGCCCTGGGATTCCGTGAAATCCAGAATCTGCCCTTGTTTTTGCCGGCTGGGCTTCCTCGAATGCCCCAAATGAAAGGGATTGCGTCGACTGGGTGACGTGGAGCGGCCACGCAGAGGAGAAAGGCTTATTGACATATTTGGGAAAAACCCTCTCGGGCCAGGAGTCTGGAAAGGGCTGTTGTTACCCTGATTCGGAATGTCTCGAGATCCATTTATCCCACCATCACTTGCTAGGGAGGAATTAGAAGCAGAATATTCGTGGCGGGGCGACATGTGAGGGTTAGATTCAAAGTCTGGATTAGGGAGAAGAGTGTTTTCTGGTGTATTGGGAATCCTCAAATGATTTTTATGGATATTTTCAGTGTCTAGGGAACCTTGGTTTGGTGTGACTGGTCTGCCGGTATCTAAGACGGCAGCGTTTCTTCCCAAATTCTTTCCATTATCGCCGGATTCTCTGGTTTTTGCTTTGGATATTCGTCTCCAACTTCCACTGTTGTTGCTACCATAGGAATGGCGCGATGATTCAGAAGAGGTACGAGGTCGTTTCTTAACGGGGGATTTGCTTTGTTTTCTTGATCTGCTATGGTTCGGTGTCAAGTTAATGGAATGGGCCAGTCGGTGCCGTAAGCGTCCTCTTTCAGCGTTTTGCTGGCTCCGGCCACCAGCTGGTGTAGGTGTACTGAGATATTGGATATCATCTAGCTCCGAGCCAGCATCAACTTGTGCATTTGATTGTTCCATAGAGCCAAGGGATTCTACTTGACTCGCGCTGGGCTCGGTATGATGTCTGGTCACGACGCCATGAGGAAATAGCTTCTTCCCATGTCGATCTTCGACCTTGGCTTTGTTACCATTTTGTTCATACCAAACAATATCTGCCAGAAGATCTAATGGCGTTGTAGCCCAATCCATTCGAGGACGACGCCGTAAAACCTCGCCAGATTTGGTATGTGTCAATTTTCGATCAGATTTATCATCTGGATCGATCCTGGAAGCACTAGGCTTGAATTCTGGGAGATCAATGTATTCATCGGGTTCCATCAGATGTAAGTCGGGGATATTAACAATGGAATCGACCCATTCTGAGACCTTCTCAACATCTCCCCACCCTGCCGCCTCGGAATCAATAGCTTGTCTTTCCCTGTACCTGATTTTTCTGTTGCGTAAATATTGCAAGGGGTTGTACTGTCTGCCTCCTGGGGTATCCTCTTGGTACCCTCGGTTTGTTTGGTGTCTGCCTAATGCATCTCCAGGGGATGGCAGAGGCGGTAGATGTGGAAGTAGGCGCAAATAATTCTCAAACAACTCAAAATGTTGTTTAGCCTTCTCGGCCCTAGCAAGAGTTGCATGGGAGAGCTGAACCTCGCCATAATGCGTGGCTCCATATCTGAGATCTACTGTGCCCAGAGAAGTTGACGGTCTTCGCGCTGGCGTTTCAATTTCAGAGATCCTCGGCGACTGTATAGCCTGAGGTCTGGAATGGGCCATAGGGGATGACAGTCTCGTACGCTGAGTTCCGCTCGAAACGGTACGGGCCGAAGAAACTCTGTTCCGCGAGTCACTAAGGCTTAGCGCAAGATTGACAATTTGGGCAGGATCTGTATCCAGTCCAACCGACGGAGACTGTCGATGATGTACGCGTGATTGACTGTCTGGGGTATATGGTGCATCTCTTTGGTCATTCTCTTCGTGTGACACAACATTCGAGAGCGGTGAGCTACCAATGGATGGCTTAGGCGTATGAAGCTGACGAGGTTGCTGAGAACTTCGTTTGGGGATGACCAGCTCGCTATCATCACTTTGATGACGAATGAAGTCTTTACCCCGTCGACTGACACCTCCCCGTGGAGAATTTGAATTAGGCGGCCCAGTGGGAGACTCTAGTCGAAATGTACTGCTTCCTTGTTTTCTATGCCTTCTTTGAAGAAGATAATCTGAACTTGGGGAGGGGGTTTGGTCAAGGCTTCCGCCCCTATTGGAATTAGGAGTGGCTTGTCCATAGCCCTCAGATGCACGCCTGTCCGAGTACTCACTCCGGCCTCGATCCGACTCTTGAGAAGGACGAGCCATCGAGGCTATGAATTGATGATAGCTCCAGAAAGCTGGGCTGAGGGAATGTTATCAAAATCAAAGCTGTTGCTATGCATGTGATTAGGCCCTGGCTGAGACATGGGACTAGGTCATACAAGAAAAGAAAGCAAGAACGACAAAGTCCGCCCAAAGAGAAAAGACGACCAGTTCAGAGCGGTTCCAGCCTGGTTGAAATACAGTCGATAACCATGGCCGTCTCCTTTTCATCCGAATCTTCCAAGCGGCTGCTGGCTGGTGTTGATGTTTGATGTTTGTTAGTTCGATGAAGATCCGCGCGGTTACTCCTTTTTTGCCTCTTTAGGGAGTGTTGAGCTGTGCAAACAAGGCAAACAGTGCCACGTGATGCTTGCGCGGCCCAGCCAAGACTCGTCGATATAAAATAAAAGTTGGCAAAGGGAGATTAAGAAAAAAAAGGAGAGGAGGGTGGGGGAGGACGGATAGTCCAGAAGTTACGTTTTGCAATTCTAGTAGATACAATGAGATCTGTTTTACAGCAGGAAACTAAAGCTCTAAATGATGGACAGGGCTTTTGAATGCAAAGACGGTTAAGGAAAAAATGGCAGAGGAGCTAGTGTCCCAAGCTCTCGACCTGGAGGCACTTAAGACGGGCTTCGGTTTCAATGACCTAAGGCAGCTAGAGTTAGCATTCATTGTAGTATATAAGTAGAGAAAGTGCTAGTAATAGGGAAAGAAAACGTACCTCCAGGGCTTGTCTAACTTCCAGAACTCTTCTTACATCCGCCAGCCAATCCTTACTTAGCAGTTTCGACCATCCGCGAAGGGCATTCATCTCACGAGCCGCGTCGTCGAGGTTTCCTTGTTCAAGGAGCTTCTCTGTGCGGGTGAGTATGCTCTCAACGTCATCTCCGCTGGAGGACGCTTCTTTCTTGAACATGACCTTGCTCATCAGGTAGCTAGTAGCGTGACTGGCTACTCCCGCATCCTCAGGGAGGAGACTTGCCTTGCGGACTTCGTTGGCAACTCGTCTGAATCGATCAATTATCTGGGCAGTAGATGGAATTCCACGCTGATAGGCAGTGGGGTTTATCGAGGAAATAGCGGCATTGACAATTGGATCTTGGCCAGCAAGGCTCTTAACCGCAAGAAGTTCGTTGATGAATGGCCTAGGCATGCTCTCACTCTCAAGGGCACTGTGGACAGCATCAACAGCGACTTGAAGCTGCTGGGTAGTCAGGTTGGCACCAATAACGTCGTTCCATCCTGCAGTTAGCTTTTCAAGTTCGGCAACCTGAGCCGATAGCTCAGAGAGCTTGCTAAAGCGGCCTTGACGCTCTTTTTCAACCAGCGTGTCAACGTCACTAAGGAACTTGCGGTTCAACTCGATGGCCTGTTCAACTAGCTCATTTCGAAGTCGCTGCTCAGCAACTGCGTTGGCTCGCTCAATCTCGGTCTTAATCTTTTCCTGGTAAGAGTTCGCGAGCTTCTCGCGTTCTGTCTCAAATTCTTCACGGTATTCAGCGGCCTCTTCTGAGCGAACCTCATCGATTCGTCGAACAAGTTCAGTAGCAGAGCGCTCAAACTCCTTGTGAGCATTCTGGATTTCCTCCTGAGCTGCAGCATGTGCCTCCTTCTTGATACTGGAAATTTGCTCTCCGAGCTTCAGGAAGTCATCCTTTGCCTTTGCAATAGGAGCAGCAAGCTTAGAAGCAGACTCATCCGCGTTTATAACAGCAATAAGTCCATTGACAATCTTGGTCAATTCCTGGATGATCGGGTCATCTTGTAGGGCTGCCAATGGCTCAATGCTTGCGACAGTAGCAACTGCTGGCTTCCTTGGCTCATCAAGTGAAACGGTCGATTTCTTAGTTTCTGTAACAGGGATTCTTTCCTTGCTTTCTTCCTTCTTCGAAACGGTCTTTTCAGAGTCGTTCTTGTCCTCGGTAATGGGTTTATTTGTCGTAGACTTTGCATCTCCACTGGCACGAGGAACTTCAGCATCCACGGCACTCATATGTTTTCCCTTGTGAGTTACATCACTGGTACCGTCATTCTCAGCGACCTTCCATGAAACACCGCTCTTGCTGGGTATAGTCACTTTTACGCCTTCGTCGCGGGGAGCTGCGGGACGAGTGTTGATATGCCGGGTAGCATTGGGGAAACGACGGCGGAAATCAAGTTCCTCGAAGTACAATACAGCCTCCTCGCCGTAGGGAACATACTCGGTAAAGAAGTCATGGAAGTTATCGGATCTGAGAGAAAACCACACTCCCCCGGCATAGGCAACTCCAGCCGTGAGAACAAGGTACAGCAGTGACCTGCCGAATCTTCCCTTGGCCTTAGGAGCAGGAGGTGGAGGTGGAGGTGGAGGTGGAGGAGCGCCGGTCTGAGCCTTCGGGGGCTCAGGCGGGTTTACCGAGGAGACAGGAGAAGTCTGGCCAGCAGGTGAAGAAGAGGCTGGTTTCGAAATACCTTCGGGCGATATAGCTGAGGCAGAAGATGGGGATGGCGGTGATCGAATACTTTGCTCATTCCCACAGGTTGCGCTGGTAGTAAATGTGGCACATGAGGTTTTTCGGGCTGGCAGTACACTGGCAATTGACCTCCCAGAAGGCCAGACGGCGCTTTTACCTTTAATGTAGCTCCTCTAAATAATAAAATTAGACACCATTAGCTGGTAAACCATCTAATACACTCGCCATCGGAAGGTGTTGTACGGACCTTGGTTATGAGGTTTCGTCCGGATGTGGTGAGCCTGTGCCGGGCCAACGAGCCCAGTCCTCGGGACGGCGCAATTGAGTTGCGCAGCATGCTGGGCGTTATATGCCGCTGGATTGTCGACAGAAGCTGGATGGCTGTCGGCTCATGGGCTGAGAGACGGAGAGTGTGCTGTGTCGTGAGACGGCGAGGTCGAATGTTTTGGTGCAAGCAAAAAGTAGTTTCGCCGGGTAAGGTTTTAGCGCCGCTTTAAGCTACTACGTCGCTGTTTTACGGACAGGCAAGGCGCTTTTGCAAGGAGGGAGGCAACTTTTGATAGATGGATTCATTTGGTTTTACTTGGGGTAGCAGACGATGGCCTAGCTGATTACACTTGCTCGTTTCCGAGGTCACGGAGTAACAGAATGAAAGGGGACAGGAAGAGTAAAGATGATAGCAGGAAGGCGTAACAAATTACAATGTGAATAGCAGAGAAGCCAATATTAACACCAGGGCAGAGCATGTCAGTGGAAAAGGTAACAGATATTAAACCGTAGATAGCAGGAAACACGCGCCGCAAGTTGATATCTAATAAAGTAAAAGAGAGAGACGGAGGGATAGAGAGGAAAACCCATCAAGAGCATTGTATAAGGTAGGTGGACGAACGAATACTGAGAAACTGTTCCAAGATGCTGTCGGTTCGATGTCTCAAGGGCCTGGAGGCGGGGGGGGTATGTGAAAGGGCTCCAATGAAACCATATTAGATGGTACCGCTGATGTGCCTGGGAGGTACGCCAGGTTTCTCTCGTCACTCGTTTCCACTTCTTCGTTACCCATGTACATTCCAAAAGCAGCCATCATGAAAAAAGAAGGAGATAAAGGGTAGAGATCATCTAATACACTCAGCAGCTGCAAGCCCCTCCTTGTGTGTTCGCCGATTCTGGGCGTAAGTCAACGCCCGGTCTTGGGTTTGCTCGCAGATTCCGTGGGCCGGCCTGGTCAAGCGGTAGTTTCTTCGCAATAGCAGTGAATAGCTCCCGTACATTTGTCGATGTCTTGGCAGATGTTTCAAAGAAGAGCAAACCAGCCTCTTTGGCATAAGCAGCTGCATCTGCGGTTTCAATGGCGCGCTTGTCAGGGCTTTCGTTGACGAGATCGAGTTTGTTTCCAGCAAGCGCTATGATGATATTCTCGTTCGCTTGTCTTTGCAACTCCTTTACCCACGACTTGGCCTTGTCAAGAGACGCCTATGCATTGTGTCAGTGCTGCTAATCTCCAAGTAATAGCATGAAAAAAGGACGATTCTTACAGCCTGGGTTATATCATAAACGACGACAGCACAGTTGGCATTTCGGTAGTACATGGGCGCGAGCGACTTATATCTTTCCTGGCCAGCGGTATCCCATATTTCGAACTTTACTGTCGTAGTCTCGTCGAGTGATATGGTCTGTGTAAGAAATGCAGCGCCGATGGTAGACTCTCGATAGTCATCAAATTGATCCTAACGCAGAGTGGACCAGGCGTCAGTACACCGCCAACAAGGCAGAAATATTAATTATTATATACAAAGATTTTTTTTTACTCACTTTGACGAATCGCAAAACCAGGGAGCTCTATACCAGAGATCCATCAGTAATCTTATCAGAGAAGACTGCATAATTATGGGTCAAGGGGCTAAGAAGTTCACCTTTCCGACAGCCGACTCTCCTATATACACCATACAGTTTAGCATGAACTTCCACTTTTGAACCGAACATTCTGTTATATTGAAGTGGGATACCTTACCAAGAAGGACAAGCTTGAACTGGGCGAACCTAGCACTAGTCCGGCCTCCTGGAGCTCTTGCAGCCATGGTTGTTGTGTTCTTAAAGAGCTGGACACCTTGGGCGTAGAGGGGGCTGATCTGAGGTCCGGGCGAGTCCTAGATACCTAGGCAAGACAACAAGCAGACGGTGCGAGAGGGCAAGGGGCTGCTAGGCCGGAGGACAGTCTGTATATGTGCGGGCGGAGGGCGTCTTTGGCGGTGCTCCTCAGCAGGCAGATGACAGTCGAGACGATGACGCTGATGCTGGCTGATGCTTGCTTGATGCTTTGCTCTGCTTGTCGTTTCTTTGGCTCCTCTGGACGCCGTCGTCAGATGACGAGGGCTGCTTACGTTATGGTATGTCACGTGGATGATGACATCAGTCACACTGACATCGCAGAAGAAACAACTACGGCGTAGAATAACAATGCAGAATACGTTCATTCGATACTGACAACATAATAAAGTATTTATATACGCAGGCTGTTCTAGCCTGTTTACCCGGTCAAGGGCTCTTCTCTCTCTGCGAGCCTTGCCTTTTCCCTGGCCAAAAAGAGCTCCTGTTCCCGCCGGCTCTTCGGTACATCCACGAAGAAGAACAGGAACACAAAGCTTGCCAGACTAAGAGCAAACAGAAAGTAGAACGGAGTCGAATTGTTCCCTGATGGCGAAGCATCTATGATGGCACTGGACACCAGCGGGCCGATGAAAGAAGAGGTCTTACCAATGATGCTGAACAGGCTGAAGAAGAGGAACTCCCTTCCCCGAGGAGTCACTTCCGATATCATGATCTGGCTGTAGCTGTACCAGGGACACACAAAGAGGCCATAGAATGCCTGGTAGGCCCAGACTTCCCAGGTGTTGTGGAACCCAAAGCGAGAGGTCCAGATGCCGATCATACCCCAGCCGTCAAGGAGAATGATGGCGATTGCGATAACGTTAAACATAGTCTTGGGCTGTAGGCTGAAGCGCTGCTGTATAGCCCAGAAGGCATAGATGCCGATGGCCTGTGGAATTATCCAAGAAGGTTAGATGGGGACATTACTGAGTAACATAGGCTAGCTTACCTGAGAAACGATACCGACTATAAGAAGGTATGTTAACTGGAGCGTGTTATATGCAACAATACTATTTTGGAGCGTTGCAATCACCGTAACAGTGGTGTTTAGAGAGTCTCCGAGTAAGAAGTACCCTTAGCTGGACGGTTAGCATGCTTACCTAGCTAAGGCAAACCAGGTAATGCAATGACTCACCGATAAGGTAGAACAAGCTCTGCCTTAGAGACCATATCTCAGTCGCCGCACGATACAGCTGGCCCAAACCAGCCAGAACGATGTTCTTTCCGTTCAGATCTTGCCCAGGCCGTCTCTTCTCCAGGATGAACCAGGGTATCGACAAGAGCAGCCAAACAGCCGTTGCAAACGCAATAAGAACACTCAACCCTTTGTTATTATTGGCCTCGCTGGCATTGACGTCCAATGCAAACATAATGCCCACAATGATGGCCAGTATAAACACCTCACCAACAGATTGGACATAAAAGGCTACATTTGACAACTGACTTCGCTTCATCGAGTCGACGGCATCAAAATCATCCTTTGTGATGAGGCCAGCACGATATTCATCTGCCTTTTGTCGAATTTCGACTGTATTTCTCGCAAGGCCGGGAAAGGCCGCTGTCCAAAAGGTCAGACAAGTCTGGTAGGCTATAAGACCTACTATGTAAAGGCCAGATGCGACGTGCCATTTTTCAGGAGTGTGGACGTCTATCCATCCGAAGCCAACCGCGTATGCGATGATAGACAGTACAATGAGTATATTTGGTCTCCAGGTGCCAAAATCAGCAAAGCTACCGATGCAGAGAAAGACAAGCACCTGGATAGCAAAGGATATTCCATTGCTCAACAGGACGATGCTGTTGATTGTTCGTCTGGAGCCTGCAAACACCAGTGTTCCCCCGGGACCTGCGGCTTGAGAAAGCAGGTTTTGAAATGCAGTGGGAGCAAAGTCTAGATATTTATGAACCAGGTTTCAGATAAGAATGAATGTCCCTGTAATTGATTTTGATGCAGAAACCCACTGAAGAGCGTCAGTCCGTTATTCCCCACGTAATAACTGCAGAATGCGTCAGTACATCAAGGTAGAAGACGGGGGTAGCCATAGAGCCCTTCGTCTTCTTTTCATGGTATAGGAGAGGCAACACACGCATAATATGCCCAGATCTCCCATTTAGACGTCTGGAATTTCTCATCCAGCGTCTCGGTGGTAGGTCCGTCTGGTATCTCGGCGTCTCTTGAATCATCGCTGACTTTGGTTGCCGCATCCTCAACCGTCAGATCCAGCTCAGCACGTTCGACAGCCATCGTATCTGTTTATGTCCGAGGCTGAAGCGCCTGAATGTGCCGAGAAGGATTGATGCAGGCCTTTCCATCCTTTAAAAAGGTCCTGTCCGCCCGGTGATCAGCCGCGTACTGGGCTGTTCCTTGTTAGTGCCACAGTTAGGGCTGGGGAGAGTAACATCGGGCGAGTTGCTTGAATTTGATAAGTACCCATCCTCGGTATCGGCGGACAATATGTATCTTTTTATACAATATTGAAAAATGAGGAAAGGCAAGGAGAGCAAACAACCTTGTTAGAGCTATGATTAGTTATATTCTATCATGGGTACTGGAAATCTTGTCCTTTGTTAAGGATAAGTGATTACCGTGGATCTAATATGCGCACTTAAAAGTTCAAGACAACTATATGCCGGCACTATTTAGATCTCAACTATCAGTAACCTGTTTAAACGGACTGTCCAAATATAAGCAAAGTGTCACATAGACATCATGATTCATTGGCGAAGATCAAGAATAGCTATATACTATATCAGAACGAACGACATAGCCCCGAAACAGCCACATCATCTAGAATAGGCGCAATTGAGCCCCTTATCTACTCTACTTCAGGAATTTCGAAGCCATGTTCAATAAGTCAGAAGCTCCGCCGCCCTGCTGCTGGTTCTGCTGTTGCTGCTGCTGTTGCTGCTGCTGGCCACCACCGCCTCCCAAAGCACCGGCAATAGCAGCTAATCCGCTTGGCTGTTGCTGCTGCTGCTGCTGCTGGCCTCCACCGGTCAAAGCACCGGCAAGGGCAGCCAGTCCACCCTGCTGCTGTTGACCACCTTTACCTCCTCCCAAAGCACTAGAGATAAGAGCGAGGCCACCGAGGCCGCCTAGTCCGCCCGCTCCAGTGCTTCCACCACCCATCTGGCCCTTGATGTACATCTTAAGGGCATACTCAGCAGCCATGTTGACAGCAGTCTGCTTATCAGTGTTCTAGATTTGTCGTCAGTAACCAGGTAACTGCCCGCGATCTCATCAAGCAGTTGGCGGCAGATTAAGAACTCACCACACGGCCCTGCTGGTTCTTCTGCTCCCACATCTGGCCAGCTTGAGCCATTGCCATACCAACAAGTTTGTTTTGGTCACCACCGCCCTGGCTCTGGTTCTGGTTTCCGCTGCTGTTCATGAACATCTTAAGAGCCTGCATGGCCGCTCCGGAACCCAAAGACTCAGCACCGTGCTTCTCATCTCGATCGTCCTTGTCTCCGTAAAGCATCTGGTGGGATTGCACCACCTTCTGCTCGTCGATGTCCTCGCGGCCCACCTTGTCCTTCTTATCATTCAGGAAGCTCATGGCCTTGCTGAAGAGGGAGTCATCGTCGTCTTCCTTGTCTTCACGTCCATGCTTCTCGTATCTGGCCTGTCTGATGGCCCGATGCTGGTCCAACTGGAGATCGCTCCCGTTGTAGTAGCCTGCGGCTTCACCGCGTTGCTGCTGGTCGTTGTAGGACATGGTAGCTAGGTGTGTTCGTGAGGGTAAATAAAGGGGTTCGATCTGTGAAACGCGAAGGGGCTAGAGAGGGCTTTGCTGGTCAGCTAGTTAGTCAGTCAACTAACGAATTGGCCAGTTGACGAGTCGAATTGATAGGCAGGATGGGGACTGACTGGATGGCTTGCTGGCTGCTGCTCTGTCTCCCCCTGGGGCCCTCTTATATAGATAGCTGTTTTGCTTGCGGGTGGCGAGACGGGCTGCTGGAGGGGCAACCCAAACCGCCCGCCTGCTAAGCCCCCTTTCTCCTCCCCACCACCGCCACAGGTTGATACATTCACTAGTTCTATGACAACGAACAGTCACTGCGGGCAGCATGGACAGGGGCCTGCAGAAAGAGGAGGGGGGGAACGGGCGGAAAGCAGCCAATGCAGCCTCCATGGCCAAGTCGACATCGGGTGCAGCAAATCTGATGGATCGCATGGAAAAGAAACGGGCAGGCAGACAGACAGACAGACAGACAGCAGATGAGGCACGGAAGAACAACGTCGAAGAGAAGGAACACGTAGATTTGGTTGATTTGATAGGTGCCTATCTGAAGACTAGCTAAGGAGGTTCTTTGAATTAATTCTCCGTTTCTTTTTTTTTATCCCCCCTGTGTAGGTACGTTGAATGTGTAATTATTTTGCAAAGTTGCTCCTCCTAAATAAATAATATGCAGCGCCCAGAATACAAGTCTGTGTCCGTTTCCATTTCCGTTTCTCCGAGTCCGATGAATCGAACGATTGAAAAGCAAAAGTAATAAAATCATAAAGCGTGAAGCATTAGAAAAGAAAGAAGGGAAGGTCAGGGTAAGGGATGGAAAAGAATTGCAAAAGAAAAAGTATGTATACTGCTGTCTTGAGTATATCCCATGCATGATGCGCCTCTCCTCCCCCCCCCCGGATACCGGATAAAAAATGCACCCCTTTGGAAACGATAAAGAAAAGAAATGAACGAAAAGCAATGCGTTGAGGTGGATGCTGTGAAGCTCAAGGAGAGCTGCTGGAGCATGGAGATCGCTTGAAGTCGCCGTAAGAGAAGGAAATCTAAAAGCACAGTTGCAGAAAGTCGTTTTTGGCAAAGCAGCCGTTTTTTGGTTCTTTTTTTTTTTTTTTTTTCTTTCTTTTCTTTTCTTTCTTTTTTTTGTGGATGTCTTATTTTCTGGGAATCGGGAAGATGAAAGAGCTTGTTCTGATGGGAGGTAAGATAACAAAAGAAAAGAATAGGTGGGAGGTATCATGAATTCGTAGTGATGAGCCATTGTATGGGTCATTGCGAGTCGTTACTGGTCGTTGAAAGCGTGAAAAGGGATATCGTCGAGAAAAGACACGCCGCGCGCACAAAGGCAGGAAAACTTCGGTTTCGTAGGGTAACTCGAGTCCAAAGAACACCAACTTGGAATGCAAGAAGGACATTATCGATGGAAAAAAGCCATGGGGAAGGTTGGAATCAATCCGATCATAGACGGTTCTTTTTCAAATCATGCCAAAAGGCAAGGAGCCAAAGAGCATAGTAAGCCAAAGAAGCCAGGCCAAATTATGGCGGGATAAGAAAAGATTATTTCCAGGTTCTATCCCAAATAAATATTGAATCTTGAGAACTCGGCATCGCTCATGAGTCTCAAATATCGGATCCTACGCTCGCTAGCACTCAAGACACAGCGTGGATCATCGTCCAATTCGGCTTCAGGGAGCCATTCATTAGGTAGGTCTGGATAGTAGACATCACCACGGGCTTCGATCTTGGCGCGTCTAGTATGACCAATACCGAATTCCTGGCCCCATTGAATGCGGTCAAACTCCATGAGGCCTCCGAAGCGAGAATCCATGTTGGAGAGCCAAATACGGCCACCATCAGGGGTGAAGTCTGCTCCTCCAATTTCACCGAAGAACTCGTGGACTTGACGGGTCTGGTAGTTTTGAGCGTTGACGATAACGAAGCGGTCTGCAGGCTCGCACATGAGCAGAGTTCGCGGGCCACCGCCGACGGGGGAGAAACGGAGGGAACGATAGCCTGCAACGTCCGAATCAAGAGTTTGGAGAATTCTCCACATACGAGCATCCCAAATGTTGACAGTCTTGTCCTGGTTGCTGGTGGCTATGTGCAGCATATCGGGGGACCAGGCGCATGCAAATCCATAGTCACGGTGGCCGGCAAGAGGCTGAACGGGTTTTCCGGTCTCACTGTCAACAACCCAGGAATCAGCAGAATCGCCGACAATTACACGAAGGCGACCATCCGGAGAGGTATCTGTGCAGTTGATAGCACGGGCAAAGCGGTGGGTTGCAATGAACTTGTTTGTCTCGCAGTCGAGGATGCGGATGGAGTTATCGTTAGATGCAATGATGGCTTGTGGGGTGTGGCTGGTGCGATGTTGAACAATGTCAATGTGGTTGGTGATGCCATTGAGATGCTTCGTAATACGACCTTCAACCTTTTCGTAGCCGTGGATTTCGCCCTTATAAGCATATTCACCACTGAAACCGCCAACAACAGTAACACCATGTTTGGCCTTCATGGTAGATATTTTCAAAGGATCAGCCACAGGATTAGAAGAAACCGACTCGGTAAGCTCAAGGATAGTGTCTTGCACATCGTAGAACGGAGTGACGGAGTAGACCTTGTTCCGATAGACATATTGCACAACATTAGATGCTCTCACAGACATAAGGTTGCGGAGCTGAAAATGAGCCATTGTGGCTTTGAACTTGGTGTACATGTTCTTGGCTTTGAAATAATTCTCAGTATCGCGCGGAGTGATAGCATACTAGAAGAGAACACCTCCAATTAGGCACCTGATAGATATATAAGAACTGAGAAAGAGTAAACATACGCCATGGGGCTGGAAGCGCAAATTATGGTAAGAAGTATACCACTGGTCCCGTAAGGAACGGGCAGCGGCTCGGTCCACGTTCAACTTCGAAGTCCACGGAATGTTTTGGATATCGAAGTTGCGTCCCTTGTGGTCATCCGGACGGGAGATCTTGGTTGGTCTCTGCCAGTTTTGCACGTTCATAGCCTCAGAAGCAATTGGAGGATATGGATGCTTAATACCAAGTCGATCGTGAGACATACGAGCGCGGAGGTACCATTGGCGGATGAATTGCTCAACGGTCAAGTTGCGTTCGAATGCTGGCGAGTGGCGCTTGTTAGTATACTCATCGGGAACAATGTGGTTTGGAGGCAAAATGCTCTGGGAATAGACTCTAAACGTATAGGGAACCATGGTGAAAGGAATACAGGTAGGAATGGTGAAAGATAATGATGGATTTGTGTAGATTCCGATGCAAGGATGAAGGATGATTGTCAGGCCCATGTTCAGGCTCTGACTGTTGATGATGTTGGTAGAAAGAGTGTTTTGCTCTGGGGAGGGGAGTGCGCCTTTTACAAACAAAGAAGTGAAAGTGAGATGCGTCGCCGTGCCATGCTCAGCTTCACACTGACTAGACAGCAGCCAAGTTGCAGGCAAATACTTAATCAAGTCGTATGGGTATTCATAGGGTGTTTGTAAAACAGGGGGGGGGAGAAAAATACATACTCTCAGTGTGCATAGACATGTCTGCCATGTCAGAGTCAACCCCGGACGGATCGAAATAGTGATCTCCAGGATCTGGTAAGGCAAATTGGAGAAGTTCAATGGGAGGGAACTCAGCCTGCTCAACTGGAGGGGTGATAGGACCGATGGCGGTATTATTAGGGTTGTTGCTGATATCATGGTTGGTGCTTAGTTGTTCCTGCTCGGCAGCTGGTAAGGAAGAGACATTGCCACAGATACTCTCGGAGTCGGGGCACGAGTCTTCATCTTCAGAGGGATAAAACCCCCCGGTAGCATCATTGCCATCTTTTTCGGAGCTGGTAGAGATGGAGCCTGGGCCCGTGCCCACTCTGTCGTGTGGAAGCCTATCAAGCTCGAAACCAGAAAGCTCGGAGATTTCGATCAAGCTACCATTACCATCTGGAGGTTCTATCCACTGGTCCTCTTGCCAACCATCGTCGGTCTCATCATTGGCCGATTCAGACACAAAAGGCGCCGGGTGGTCGAGGAGCTCCTCGACGTCCTCTTGCTCGTCCATATCGCGATCGTGGTAAAAGCTATGCCCGTTAGAGTAGAGGGTCAGATGAGATGGAATAGTGATTAATGGGTAAGGATCGGTTAAGTGAGCCAGGGAGCCGGTTACTTCTGGCACGTCCTCACTTATATGTTCCCCTTCTGGGAATGGCGAGGAAGTCAGAGGAGTAGACAAAAGTCCACTTGTTGGTTGCGCAAATGGCCCAAAGAGAGATAGAGGAGGAGAGTCTAAAGAGAAAGTTAGATAGAGTATATATATATATAAATAAATAGATATAAATATAGAGCAACTTAAAAAAGAAAGTAGTATAAAAAAAGAAAGCAAAAATAGATATCACCTACCTTCACGGGTCTCGGTGGTGTGTGGAAGCTCCTCATTCATAACTAGGTCCTCTTGTTTGGTGATATCATCTACTACTTCAGTAGCAGATAGGTGTGGAACACTCTGAGAGGAGGATGGCCCAGCTGCTGTCTCAGTCTGATCAACCATATCTTCACTAGATCGTTCACAAGTAGAAGCACATCACTAGATCTCAGTCACCAGCTAGTTTGAATATGGAACTCGTCTAGAAAAGAAAAAGACCCGAAGACTTTAAAATCTGGACAATAGTTCATATACAAGCAACAAGGCCCAAGGACCTTGGATAGGGATATGATGAGTCTTTTTAAAAAGTACTCGACTGGATCCAGAACTAAGAAAAGCGACGAATTATGCATCAGAAGAAAGGAACCGAAGACAAGAAGAGGAGCCAGCACATACCTTTAGAGAAGAAAAAAGCCAGCGTAGGGAGCTGTATTCTTTCGTTGCTGCTTCTTGTTCTTCCTTGAAGATTTGGCCACCACAAGATAGATGGCTTAGAATAGGAGCAAAAGGAATATGTTGATCAAGAAGGGAAGAGAAGAGAAAAAAAGAAAAGGGAGTTAGATGGAAGAAGAAAAGAAAAATGAAGGAAAAGTAGAAGCAAAAAAGATGTTGTTACACAGGCGATTAAGCCAGAAGATTGGATGGGCCAAGAAAACCGGGCCAAGTATGTGTGTTGCTCCAAAGGGGTGGGAAAGTAAGGTGAGGAATCGAGGAGTGCGGCAGGCTTATTCAGGCCATTCACTACCAGCGGCGTAGGAGGGAGTGAATAGCCGGGACAAGGAATGAATAGGAGTGGGGAATAGCAAGATGGGTGAGACAAGAGAGATATGCAAAGAGGCAGCCAATGCAGCAGTTTGTTATTATGTTAGCTTAGCGCGCGTAGCTTCCAACAGTCAAGAAGATATCCTGTCTGTCTCATAGAAAGACGGGAGACAGTCCAACGAGACCAGGTATCTTCTTCCCCGAGTGAAAAGGAAGAAGACGAGCCTGAGCAATTGACGAGTCCTCCGAGCAGATGTTTTGATATGGGCAGCTGAAAACAGAGCCGGGGGAAGAAGTGAGGTCGGGGAGAGCCAGCAGGAGCCAAAGACCGAGCCAGCGACTGCTCTCCTCCCACCAAACAAACAGCCTATCACCGCCGAGACGAGCCGAGTCCCGACGCCCCAGGTGAATTGCTGTCCAGTCTCTCACAGTCCCCGCGCCCGCCGTCGTCGAGCCGTCGAGAGTCGTTGTTGATGTTGTCGATGTCGATGTTGTTGTTTGTATGTCGTTCGACTTTCGACGTCCTCGAAGAAGCGTCGGTTTAGTTAAAATCGAACTTTCCGCTTTCCGCCCCGCGCAAGGAAAGAAACGCCGAGATCCGAGATCATGTGATGTCCCGTCCTGGCCTAACCGCTTTGGGACGAGAGTTTTCTCTTTGCCGGCTTTTTCGATATAAAAGTTTATTGCTTTAGCAGTTGGAAAGACTGCGTATACCAACACCCCCTGAGGCACCATGGCCGACAACTTATACACGCCGAGATGTCCCTGCGATGGGTGTTTGTTGCCCTTGCGACATGGATGGTGCATGCGCTAGCCCAGTCGAGGTGGCCATGGCCCGCACGGGAGGGAGTAAGGGGGACCCAGAAGGCTGCAGGGATGCCGCACCTTTTGACAGACACTGGACTTGCATGACGGGGCGCATGATGTGGGAGGGCAAAGAAGGCAAGGGTTGCACATCCTCGCTACCGCATGCCTGTCTTCCGTCCGTACATAGTTACTTTACGGCTAGGCACAGGTACGCAGCCTCTCTCTGTTCTCGCGGCACGGGAGCGGGAGAGCAGCGAATCATCCCGGGGGGAAGATTTTGAGATGGCGAAAAACAGCCAATTAGCCCTCTTGATCCACCTATCTCGCTAGTCACCGCACCAAGCCCAGTGGCCCCCCTTGTTCCCGCGCGCTGGACTACGGAGATGCCTTATGGAGTGCATACATAAGTATATAACTTAGGATGACTGCTCCATACGGAGGCCTCCGCGCATGGCTACCTGCTTAAGCTACAGGCGAGATAACAACATCTCAGATTCCGTTTGTTACACACGCTGGAACGCACAGCAAGGTCGGAAGCTGAAGTTATGCTTTCCATTACCCCTGCATGTGTACCCGTCTACATACCTCTTACGGATAACTCCGTCCATCCCCCTCCGCCAAAACGCCCATACAGTGACTCCATTATTAAGTATCATTATCAAAAAGATGATGAGTGGCTGTTATGGAATTCCAGGCTCTTTCCATTCATCCCCCTGCATTACACTGCAGCGATGCTCGATGCCCAACACGGCAGCCTGACATGAATTATTTTATTACATTCTTTTTTTTTTTTGGCTCGACTTAACTTGCTTAACATAACTCACAATCCGCCTATCCACGTAAGTATTGATGGGTGACTTGAGTAATAATATCTTGACTTTGAACCAGGCCAAGGCCAGCTATGTTGCCCACCGCTTGCATGCACGAACCAGGATGGTTTCATGCGTGATGTGCCAAACACGGAATCTGCAGGCTACGATCTTATACCCCCCCTGGCCGAGATGGTTGTCTGTCTCTTGAAAACGACTGTACTGAGTTTAAGCATGGTTGAGGGGGTCAGTGTCGGGCTGGCCTAGACGGGTAGGCAGGCGTTTACGGAATAGGGATATGTAAACTAGAGAGTTCTTACGTACAGAGTACCTTACAGCAGTTCGCTCTCAGTCGTTAAGCGAGAAAAAAATGAGTGAGGAAGTAAATAATATCTTGTATATCCGTATTTATATGGTTATATCTACATACAGAGAGACAAGCAAACGCAGAACAACGGTATAAGTGTGCTTGACCCCAAAGAAGTGTAAGCCGCCGTGAAAAGAGAAGAAAACGAGACAACTCGAGAAGCACCAATGACAAGCAGAGGAAAATCAGGGATATTACTAGTTAGTACAGCTGAGTGTGTGGTGGTATATCAAATATCATGGCCAAACCAAGGTTGACAAATATAAACGAAACATGGCATAGATGAATAAAAAAACTATGCGAGGGCTTTCATGGGTCATCGCAACGGAGAATAGAGGTAATAAGGGTATGGGGTAATAAATGGCCAGAAGGTAACAATCCGATGGATCCGGGTAAATTTAAGTGTTCAATCAATCAAGGGGAATGCGGCAAAAGCAAGCAGTTGAATTTAAGCACGTAAGCGGACAGACAGACAGGAATATAAATAAGAATAGAACATTATATAAAGAAATGACAAAAAACACATGTCCGATTAAGTGCATTCATTGGTAGTCGGAGTACCCACCATACACGGAATTATGAGCATAGTTGGAAAACGAGGAATTCGTGTGATGGTGACTGGCTGTGTTTGCATTTCGGAGCCGGCGTTCTAGCAGAGAAGAGTTAGCATCGTCCGAAGAAATTAATTTTCCAACCAACCGGCTAATCAAACGCTCCGGCCAGTTAAAATATAGGGAAGGAGGGATGTGTACCTTTTTCGAAATCTCTCCATCTCTTCATGGTGATCTTGCTGCTATCAAATTCTCCCTCGTACTCTATTCCGGCAGTTTTGGTCTTCTCGCCTGCCGTCTTTCGCGTGTCTCCCCAGCTGAAGTCGTCGAATTTCCAGTATGCGTATGTGGGCAGGACAAAGTTCCAGATTGGTAGGGAAAGGAGGTAGATGAACATCCAGAGAACGTATGATAGGCGATGGGCAGTGACTACGATTAGCACGGCTGGTAAACCGAGGATAAGAGCAAGGAGGACGAGAGGGATGATTTGAACGGGGCTTTTGACGATGGAGATGATTACGACGTAGAAGGTGAATGCGATGGCTGCGGGGAGGACGAGGGTTCCGACGAGTTCCATGAAGACGACGAATTGCATACTAAAGCAGAATGTGCCGCATAGGTCGCGGACGAGGACAAGTTCCATCAGGTTATGCACGGTGGAGTTGATCCATCGACGACGCTGGGAGAGCAGCACGGAGAATTTGTCTGGAACGGTGGTCTTGCATACTGCCTGGGGAACGAAGACTTGTTTGCGCTTGGGGAAAGTTCGGAGCATGAGAGTGGATAGGTATCGGTCCTCACCCAGGAGCAAAAGGTTCTTCTTGTGCAGCGTATCCACGACGTTTTCGGAGTAGTGTTCAACCACGTCCGGGTTGGCGAGGATGGGAACCCAGTAGTTCTGTCCGCCCTTGGGAGCCTTGATGCGGTACATGCAGAAACAGCCGGGAAGACAGGTGACACCTCCAAAGACAGACTCGAAGGATTTTGACAAATGATGAGAAATAAAGTATTCAAACACCTGGATCATGGTAACCCAGCTATCGGACTTGTTGGCGATCTTGGTCTCACCGCAGAGGCCCATGATGTCAGGGTCGCGAACCATGGCAGAAAGCATGTGGGTGAGACTGTCTGGGAAGACCTTGGTGTCTGCGTCAACCATGAGAACAACTTCATAAAAGTCTGGAGAAATGCCGGTAATCTTCCACAGGCCGTTGAACATCTCGAATTCGAGCTCTGTCATTCGCTCGTCGAACATGACCTTTTGGAGGAAGGACATGAGGATGATCTGACTGTCTCGTTTACCTCTGTTTCCGGGCTTGCTCTTGTTGGCTTCTTCGGGAGTTCCGCACTTGACAACGACCATCATGGGCACACGCTGCTGCTTCTCGGGGGGCACGATGGAACCGGGACCATAGGCGTAGAATCCAGCGTAAATCTTGGCCATGTTATGACGTTTTGAGCCAGAGGCAACAGCAACGTAGGAGAAGGGCTGGACATCGTCTGGATGCACGGCATGGTCGCCCATCATGCTGAGCACGGCATCAGGGGTGGAAATGCTCTCGCCTTTACCCTTGATGATACCGTCACAGATGACGAGGATGGTCTTGTGGCTGTTGGGGTAGTCGGTCAATGCAATTGAGTCCAAGGTAGTGCGGATTCCTTCGACGCCTTCAGAGTAAGCGGTAACCAGACACAAGGTATGGGCTAGTGGGTAGCCAAACGGCTGCCATTCCGGTGGAGGCTGTGGCACAACGGCCTCGTGGACGAACTCGGCAGGGCCCTGGCCCTCGATGTCACTGATGGTAGAGTGGCGGTGGTCATGCCCTGGAACCATGAGACTGGTACGACTGTCAATGAGGCTGTGTCGGGGGTCAGCGCTAAGGGTTCCCTGGCTTGGGTTGCCGAGCTTGTACATTGGCGCGGCGCTGAGGCGGTTGGAGTTATTCTGGCTGGACATGGTGGTGATGGTATTGCGCTGCTTGT